CACAAAATAGTCAGATCAGTTTAATAGAGGAAAGATCATCTCTTTATTTGATATATTGTTCTCACTTTGAAACAACCACATCACATTTAGAAATAAAAGATTGAAAAAAGAATGGATAAAATAAAGACAGAACAGGCGTGAGAGTTCATCCATGTTTCGCCATGTTTACTCTGGTCCTGCCCGGGAGGAGAGGGAGGTCAGACAGAGAGGACAGCGTCGGCTGCAGAGCCATAACACACACAACCTGCTCATCATATCATCCCACAGCTCAGGCAGGTCAGAGGTTAAAAAAGTTTCACACATTTTTATATACAAACCACGTCCCGTATAGTACAAAGAGCAGAATTTATTCATCCTGTGGAATCAAACTGCAAGTTCAGTCAGAGAAAACTAAAACATTTACAAATAATTGTCGACAGCAAGAAAGTACAAAGTATTTCAACGGTACAAAGATGACAGAGAGTTAGAAACTCCTCAGCTAAATATGGATCACAGCAGCAGATCCTGGTCCAGGCTTTCGGCTGCATGCGTGCAGACAGTGTCTTGTAAAGACAGCAGACTCAAGACTGAGTTTCTCGTTTACTGCTTGTTTAGAAAAATAGCTCTTACAACAGATCTATGTCATATTAATCATGAGACAACCATTCAAAAGAGAACATTAGAAAAGAGTTAACATACAAAAGGAAATCTGTGAGAGATGAAAACCTCCTAATGAGCCAACAATGTTGGAAAAGTTTATACATTATAGTTCAATCCTTGAAATGGTGTCAGTTTAAAATGATATTAAATTTGTGAAGCATTATGGAGATGAAGGTTGGCTTTTTCAGTTCAAATAAATCAGAGGTAGCTTTGCCCTTGAAAGATTTAATTTGTATGAAAAATGTGGCGAAAAATGACCACACACATTCACTCCTTTTAGGCAACTGCAGACAAACATGTTGGTGTTTATTACTAAGTCTTAAATAATGTGATACTCCAACCAACAACGAGTTTCAAAGCCATAAAGAGCTTCAGATTTTAACTCATCCGAGACCAAATGTGAATAAGATATAATCAATAATTATCCAAGATTACTTCCTACACTCAGCCCCTATGCTAAATTAGTCAATGTAAATCTCAAATGGAAATGATTAACTCTGAAATAAAGTCAGAGTGTGACTTCACTGATTGGCCACAAAGGGATGGCCTGCGGTGCCATGCGCCGCTTTTGACACCTGATGGCTGCTCCTGGTTAGAGATGCAGGGATTAGAGATTTCAATGGTTTGATTATAGTCTGAGTAATAATCACAACAATTATTAATTTATTGGTTAGACAACTATGCTAAGATATAAAATAAGATTTATATCAGAATTAATGAAATCCTGCGGTTCAATGATGTTATCCTGGAGTTTAACACCAAATAATCTGAGTTTAAGTACCCAGTGCTTACTCCACACAGAGAGGGGGGCAGCAGTAGAAAACAGTGACTGATAAAAGCCCTTAGGAGGACCGTTGTCTTCTTCTATAGACTTTGTTTCTATAGCCTGCTGCGCTGAATTTGGTTCTTCTAAACTGAAAGCCTGACTTCCCCATGCTTTGATAAGAGACATTATTAGCTCAGTGTTTCATCATCTGGGAATAAAGAAAAAGCCATATTTTTATACTTCCTTTATAAAATATTCACAATTAATGATCAATCTGAATGTCAAAGTCAGAATGATGAGATTGTCAGAGGACACTTCTGAGCATGTAGAGGACAAAATAAGCAAAGACTGCTTTGCCAGCAGGGGGCAGCAAATTTGACACAAATCAAAAGTTCCTCACTTGAGCTTAAATCAACTTTTGGGCTGTAGGCACAGGGTGCTCACGACTTTCTTTGCATTTCAATGAAGCCCATTTCTTTTTGTTAGTTAGAAAAATACCTGAAGAAGAGCGTATCAGAGAGGACTTACAGTAGTCCATCAAACACTGCAAGGAAAGTCTTGCAAATGTAAATAAACTAATTATAAGCAACATTGGGGTAAAGAAACACAGCCTATTTGTGACTGTAGGAGTTTGCTCAAGTTTTTCAAACTTCTAGAACCCCTAAAAATATTCAGCCTCTCTAAATTTGCATAATGTGTTGATGGCTGGAGTATCACTTCTTTTCACCACAAGGTGGCAGTGCCCATACAGTTACTTACAGGCCTCCATTCTGAATACGGAACCAAGAATGTGAGTCAATGTTTGAAACTAAAACTCAGTATAAAGATTAAAAGACCTTCATGTTATAGGGCCATGCGAGAAACATTTGAGAGTTTCTGTGCATGTGTGAGTGAGAGTGTACTTTGTGTTCCCCTATTTAAAACACCATTTTGCTGTGTGCAGAAGCATGAAAGTAGAAGGAGGACTGCTCTTATAGGGTGTTTAGGTATGCTCACCTTGACTCGTCTACTCTCATAATAAACAAGGGGCGTCTAAGGTCTGCTTTGTCAGTCGATCATTTCCCACCTGCTCATAAAGGCCGAGTCCTAATACTCAAACTGGCCCTTCGTCCCCTCTTAAACCCAGCTCAGCCTTCAGGGGGATACAAGTACAGAAATCTTAGCTCGCTCACATGTTGGTTTCATGGAAGTTTGGTTCATCAAGTCTCCACACTGACAGCCCACCCTCATCACTCGTCTGTTTCTGAGTGCTTCAGATTTTAACCCTTTCATTAATCCTCCTCACTCCCCCTCCATGTATTTTCCCTGCTCTCTCTCTTAGTTACTCCCCCGGCTGTTCTCCTCTGTTGTTTCTTTGACTTTGCCCCCCTGCTCCCCCTCCTCCTCCTGTGCTGCTGGGGTCTGATTGGCCGTCTCACTCACACTGGAAAACTTGTCTGAACTCTCGGAGGTCGCCGTCTCTTGTTGATCTGTGGAGACAAAGACAGATGTTGGGAAAGACATCTGGTCAGAGTTATATGTCTCATATGGAGTGTATGCAGTTTGGAAAAAGATGATTATGGTTCATTTTGGCAAAGAGATACCTGTGAGCAGAAACACACTACAGTTAAGTCAAAATAATTAGCTGATTATTCGGATGGGAAGACTATAACTTTTGGATTATCTGTAGGTGAATCAAACACAAAAACAAGAGTGTTTGTTCAAAATATTTAGGTTTGTTTTTTGGTCATCAAACCTGTGCAAAAACCCAAAGAAGCAGAAACTTCTCTCTGCTTTTGCTGTTTTGTGTCTGTTGCTGGGGCTGGTGTTAGGTCCAGATATTTAGTCAGCTGCAGAGCTCCCTCTGACAGATATGGGGCAGGAGAGAGAGCGCAAGGGCCAATATGACACCTGAACTGTACCGCCGCTCAGTGCACAGAGCTTCACCTGCACACCTGGTCGTCCCACAGAGGAGCTTACATTAGCCTAAGACCTGCAGGAGACTTTTCTTCCCAGAAGAAGAGCTCTTCAAACATCTATTTGTTCTTTGATATAGAAAACTCTTGCTCCACAAACTGGAACAAAGAAGCCAAAACATGAGTAAAGTTTGTCATGTTAAATTTCCTCAGGTTATAAAGTTAGGTAATTAATATGCGGTAAGAAGACGGGATTGAGCAACCGGAATTAAAGGTACAGTTTGTAGAATTAGGGTATTTCATGACGTCTAGCAGTAAAATGCCAGTTTGACAACTCAAAGTTTTTCTTGTTCAGTCATGTTTTTGTCAGAGAAACTTAATTCTTTGAGGAGTTTTCATCACAGCCTCTGCTCATAGTTGACTCTGATCAATCTAAGGAAACATTAGCAGGATCTCTGAGAGCACTGGGATCATTCAGGCTTCTTTTTTTCTGTAAACTAATACAACTTTGAGTGAAGAAACCATCTCTAACCCTGTGACCTGGCCTGATCTTGTATTACTTCTTCATATTTATTCTTTTTTGGATGAAAACTCTGGTTTACCCAGTTCACACTCCTGTCATGATTGTAAAAATGATCCTCCGCTTTGACGCATTTTTACGGTAAAAAACTAATCTTACTCCACCCTGTCTGCTCCCCTAACAGTGTGTCTTGCACAGAAACCCAGGAACTAATAAAAACACATTTGGTTCCTATGAGTTTGTCTGTTTGTTGAACCATACACATAAAGGCTTGTGACCAACATCTGTCCGTAAAGATGTGGTCTCACGGTTTGAGCAGGGTTATCATCTGTGGTATCTGTTCTGGGAGGAAAAAGAGACCTGAAACTTGTTATGTGAAATGCGTGCAGAGATGTTGGGATAAATATGAAGGAAAGGAGAAAACTGGACCACTCACACGAACTGGAGGTAAATATAGGTACTCTAACACTGCTTTATGCTAATCTTTTGTTAAAGGGATTATCCGGCATAAATTTAAGTTTGGGTCATACACACCGTAACACCAAATTAGACACCCCCTAGAGAGATGAATGTTGCCGACTGATTGCTTCTCTAGTTATACCAACTTTAGGAACGACCGCATAATAGCAACACACAGCGGTCTACGTCTCTACGCGCAAACCCCAACCAAAAACCACTCTCCTCCAGCAGCTGCTTGTTTGTGGGGGAGCCCTGACGAGTCGATCACTGAGTGCAGCAGAAAATGTATGATTATAACTTCATGGAAATGCAATTAGAGTTCTTGTGTGTCTTGTATGTGCACTGCAGACGCTGTAGTTCTTCTGCCCACAAACAAGCGGCTACTGGAGGAGATTAGGTGAGTTGTGTTTAGTCTCTTTGCTAAAGAAATCAGGCAAAGCTAAAAAGATGTTTGATGGCTAGTACTATGGCTGGGACCCTATATGTACTGTTGATGAAGTTAAGTGTTGTTCTGAGCATTATTTGCGGCTATAGACCATAACTTAAATTTACAGCAGAATATCCCTTTAAGTTAACGTGATTTGCATGGTTTTCAAGATTTCTACGCGTAAGACTGGGTAGGTTGGTAACAGTAAGTCTTGTTTTCAGATATCAGTCAGGTTTAAATATGTTTTGTCCTTTCAAACTTAATAAAATCTGTACTGAAGAAGTGACATCAAACTGATAGTCTTACCTGCAGAATTTAATAAGCGGTAAGTAAGAGTTTAAGTTAAAACAACCAAACTAATCCTTCAAAATGATTGCACAGTTCCAGCATGGATGTTTTAGCAGTGTTGAAGTGTCCCAGAGTGTTTTTTTTTTTTTCAGGGTGCAGTGAGCTGCTGCTGTTCATCAGAGAGCCTCCCTCTCACCAGCAGCTTTGGCGGGAGACACGTCCTCTCCCTTCTGTCTCTGCCAGTTGTCCTCATCCTCATCCTCATCCACCTCATAAGGGTCTTCAAAAGGGGGGTAGACACCTAGGTTCTGCATATGTGCTTCAGCCATCTTCTGCACAGCTACACAAACAGGGAAACACAACACACACACACACATAGGAAGAGGGGAGCACAAACACACATGGACACAAACAGGGATAGAGGGATTTGTTGTTCTGGTTTGGCCACGCTTCAACACTGTCAGTTTTTATCAAGCCTCATACAGAGTTTTCTGACATGCCAGTTAGCAGGAGGCTAATTAGAGAGAGAGAGGCGAAAAGGCAGACAGACAGGTGGAGACAGAGAGTCTGCAAGACGACACCACTTCAGTTTGTAAAGCACAGCTTTGTTGTTGTTTTCTGTCCTGTTTATATTCACCCTCATCTTTTCCAGGTTTTGCTGACTCACATTGTTTCTTCCTCTCTCTTCTCTCGTCTCTCTTTTGTGATAGTACCTCAACGCCCACTCTCACCCCCTCTGGGTCACCCTGGCCTCTCTCCCTTCACTCTTTCACACCCTCACTCACTCAGCGCTGCATTGAAGCAGGTCACTTATCCCGGCTTGAGGTTTGTTATGTAACTGGAAATGAGTCTGGGGAAGCTCTCTTTCACTCTCTGAAGGGCAGGTTTCTAATGCAGCATCATGGCTTTAGTATATCACCACTCAACGACAACACACACACACACACACACACACACACACACACACACACACACACACACACACACACACACACACACACACACACACACACACACACACACACACACACACACACAATGATATCCACATTAAACCTGGTCTACTCACAGGCTCTGAAATGTGGATTTTTGCTCCTTTTACCATTAAATGTAACACCCAGGAGGCCTAAAGACACTAAGAAAGTATATGTCTGTTTTCACTCTATCCTGTCCATATGTGTGTGTTCGTCTCTGTGTTACTGTGTGTGTGTATCACAGCTGTATACACAACTGACTGTAATCCTGGATGATCCAGACTTTCCTAGACTCACACTCGGTGTCTCACAGCTGTCACGCTCTAATCTCTCTCTTTCTCCCTTTCTCTCTTTGTTACACAAACACACACCCTGTTGTTGATCGTACACTAATAGCAGCAACACATGGGAAAAAAATACCCCTGCATACCACACATGCACATGCAGGTTAAAGGAAAGAAATTAAGCCTTTTGATTCATATACACCCATCTGCCACATGCATTTTAACTGTATTGCATGCTGATATGAAGTGCGGAAGCAAAGAACTGCAGTGAAGCATGGTAAGGCAAAAAGGGCACAAACAGAAGGATGAACCACAACACAAAAGCAGCACCTGCTGTGTAAACACTGCTCACACTTCTTACCTTTAAGTGATGGAGGCTGATACACATTTGGATTGACACGTTTGGGTTTGAGCACTCCATTTTCTCCGACGACCCACTGCAAACAAACAAGGGAAACACTCAAATACACAACATTTCAAGGGTATTCATCTCCAAAATCCACCTCAGACATATTCATATTAAAAAAAGACCTCTTGGGGAATAACAAATGCTTAAATATTTGTTTGAATTGTGTTATTATGTCGTTCCTCTAAAGAGGGATCATTAGATTAAAGGTTGAATGCAGGGAGACTTTTCCACTCCCTGCAAAAGAAAATGAAAAGCTTATCCTTCACTCTGCACAGTCAGGCCTTTTTGAATGCTATTATTTAACCTTAAGTCATAAAACTCTTAAAAACTCTCACATGTCTTTCTTGGCACACAGCGCAGTCCATGGCAACATTGGTTTCTGACCTGTGCATTCATCTACACATGTGCAAAGAAGCTTTTCTTGAAGTTATGTCTCTGAAATCTGACTACAAGGCCATAAAATCCAATAACAGGGTTTAGATGCCTATTTTCTCTGAATACATATTGTTGTTTCTTTTCTTTTTTTCATTTTGCACATTATCAAGTTCAACGATAAATCCTTAGGCTTGGTCTTGTGTAATGACAGCCCAGAACAACTTTAATTTGTGATGGTGGACACATCAGACATACAAAAGCTGTAACGTGACAAAAAGAAACATCCAACACTGACTCACTCCAACTCTAACTCATTACTCTAAATGGTTTTTTCATGCAGGACAGATGAAAATGCACAGACACCTACAATAGAAAGTGTGTTGATGTCACCTTTACCTGATGGGTGGACTGATCATCGTCAGGAGATGATTGGTCGGCTACCCTGAACAGTGTGGCAGGAGTGGGCCTCCTGCGCCGGATCTACAACCCAACATGAAAGGCAACCATAAACAAATGAATAATTAAACTTGTCATCAATTTTTCATTCATGATTCTCAAAACCTCATAAATCAGATGGGTAATGTTGTCAGTTCATGCAGGGGCCTTGGTCACTTCATCACAGATGCAGCCCAGTCAGCTGATGGGTCAACAGACTGCACAATTTTCAGGTACTGATCAGGTCGGAGTTTAGGTTTGAAAAGTGAAGGAGGTGTTATGATGTAACTCTCAGATTTTTTAAAGATATATTAACCATAAACAGGCTGTTTGAAAAGTGCAGCTGGTGCTTGTAGCTTGTAGATTCATTTAAACTGAGCTGTCTTTTCACCCCACATATAACACTCTTGGTATGTTTGATCACCTGAATGCACCATGTACAGTGGTCTTATATGTGCACAAACAGCAGCACCATTGCAGGGGATTTATAGTTAATTAACCCGCCTTGGGGAGCTCAGACACTGTTTTTTACTGTTGGTCTGTGAGCATTTACAGTGAACCCTCTGTCCTTACAGGAAATGCTCAGCAGTGCCCCTTTAGCTCACCATCCTGTGCCGTGTCTGTGCGACTGTACTCCTACAGTTTGTCATCAAAGCTCCTGTGAGAAATTTTAAGCCAGTTATGAAACAGACTGAATTTGACACTAGATGCTCCTGTAGGACATACAGGAGCAAATAAGGTCATAAGCATAAGAAATGATTATTTCTGCTGCCACAAGTAGACGTCAGACGAAGTGATAAACAGCCAGCTGCAGAAAAAGACGTTCATGAGAGCGCACTTACATTAAGCAGTTTGTACTGAGCCCAAGCATAAGGACTAGTACCCGTCCTTGGCCTTCAGCAGGGCACAGTTACTTATGCATAGGCACAGTACAGAAAAGCACCTGAATTTTTAAAACTTTTATAACCAGGCACTAAACATTGTGGTACAGAAAAGTAAGTAGGACCTGAAATCTGTCCGGCTGTGAAGTTTGCTCAACAAAAGCAGCAGAAAAAAACACTTCTTGAGAAGGAAGAGGGTAAATATGTGACTCCAGTACTGGCAGAAAGAGAGAACATAACATCAGACAAAGAATGAAATGTGTAAATGAATTATCGTGCAAGGAAGGCATTGATCTGAAAAATACCAACTTACAGGAGAGACAGAGAGGGTCCTACAGACTTTGCAGGCTTACTAGCTGGACAAACAGCAAAACTACAATAAACAACTACTGCTGTTTCTCTGTCACTCTGTCCTATTTTACAGTCTGCCTTTTAAGCTGTAATATGCCAGAAATAGATTAGTCTTCAGAAAATGGTCAATATAAAAGAATTTAAGAAAACTATCCAATGAGTTTTGGGTCATTCGATGAGGAAAATTATTGGCTTTTCTAGTTTTAAAATTCAATCTTTGAAAACAAGACCACTTTCATATTATTTTAAAAAACTTTAATATATAAGGAAACGGCAAAATGGTGAATCAGTTGAGCTTATTTCAGAGGACTCATCAGATACACATAATCAAAGCTCACCCCAGCTTTGTAGTTTGATACTTTCAGAGTGGTTAGGAAAGTTTAAGTCATAAGTTTGCACTATATATATATTTTATTTTACATTGCGGAAACCTGCAAACATTACAACCATAGCAACAGAGGGGAGGTCACAGGTGGCAAGCCCTACTATCAAAATCTGATTTAGCTAATCAAGGTGCCACCCTTAAAAGTGGAGTCTGTCCACCAAAAAGAGCATGCAAACTCTTACACATGGCCAAACAGTCAAAATTACTATAACTTAAAACATTGTGGTACCAAAGCATCGTCAATTAGGGTATTTTTCACTAATCAACATCTTTCAAATACCTCAACCTTACTGCATCGACTACTCCAGGTTAGTAGAGATAGAAAGGATATATATGAATACCATTCATTCATGTATGACTGTGTGAGTGTGTGTATGTCTGTACATAAACCTCATGGCACTTCTGTATATGTCAATGCTCCACTTGGGCTACCCCAGACAGCATTGCAACCATAGACTGTATATAGAATGGACGCCTCCTCGCTGGTTGAAGTCACCCCGAGAACAGCACCCTCTGGTGACGGGCTGCAGTATCGGTCATAAATCCTACCTCCTCCACTAATCCCTATGGAGCTGTGGACAAACTTAAGAAATTTATTACACAGAATATATTTTTCCACCTCAATTTTTAAAAGTTATTAGGGGATCCATGTTTTCTATGATTGACACTTGATAGAGCCAATGGGCATACAAAGATTGCGTAGCTCACCCGTGGGATACACAGTTTGAGCCAAGTGTCATCATAGCGTTTCTCGGCGACTCTCCCACCGAATGCATACAATGCTGCTGGGCAATGTTGGGTTTTGGAAGTCGAGAAAAACGTGGAAATACCTACAGCTTTTAGGCTTCAAACCCACATACAGGTGGAAGGCAGAACCAAGTTGTCCATAGAATATACAGTCTATGGTTGCAACAGACTTAATTTTAATTTTTAAGCAACAAATGTTTTTCTTAAAGGAGTAAACTGTAAACACTGACGGATAAGAGAGTAGCAGATGGTTTTTAAGCTGTAGTACTCTGAGCAGAAAGTCTTGAGTATGTGTTTCATATATAGAAAAATTGACATGCAGTGCTCGATGTTTTGACCCACTTTCCGGTAACTCCAGACGATTTATAGCTGCCATCTGTAAAATAACCTTTTGGAAAATCCTGGATGAAAAAGGGAATTATGAGTGCAAGCAGAGCAGTTAAGTGGACTTGGCAGGTCAGACAAACAAAGTATTGAAAAGTGCCCTCTAAGGAACACGCCAACCTTGGCCATGATATGAACCTCCACACTGCTGTTTACGGCACCACACAACATCACAGGCTGAGAGTTAAGTAGCTTGGCTCTGTTTTGTGTCTCACCGCTCCATACGGAGGGGTGTGTGTTTGTGTTTGGTTCGCCTCGCTCTTGTTAGGCGAGGTGTGCGTCATCGCAGTGAGGAACATGTTGCCAAAGCAGAGGCTTGCTGGGCCGCATGGTGGAATGCTGCCACTGTCAAACACGACAACACAGAGTAATCAAGCGTGGATTTCTCCCTTATTTATGACACCGGACAGAGTTTTTAATCCAGTCACACAACTCACAGCTTCCAGTCTCCCTTGAATTTCTCATCTTCAGTTTTTCTAATTTTCACCTGTCATTTCCATCTCGCTTGATCCTTCGCTTCCTCCATCCAGATTTGTCAGTCAGTACTTGACAGTGACATTACCCTTACTTTTGTAATCACTTCTCCTCTCCACATCATCACCAGTTTTTCTAAAAATTAAAATCCTTTGTGCTTACAGACTCTCTCCTCTTTTCCTGTCCTTGACTGATCTCTCTCTTTCTGTCTGTTTTGGCGCTGGACATCCACAGGGCCTACTTAATCCCCCTTTGTCTCCCCCATCTCTCCCTCGGTGAGCTGTGGAGGCCTGGGGCTTCATGCCACTGTGAACCCTGCTGCCTTTTCCTGCCTGACACCTGCTCCCAGCCTTGCAGGGTGGCCTGGGACCTTCTAGAGAAAGCAAACACCAGATGTTGCCATGATCAAGCCTGTCCCAAAGTCCTGCAGCATCAGGGCCTTTAAACTGAGGGAACCCTTGAACTGGTTCCAGAATCAATTTGTAAATAAGTTGATTGACAAGAAATTAGTCTCAGAATTTGAGGTTTTTGGACTGGGAATATACTGAGGATTAAAAAATATCTTGAATCGGTGAAGTCTCTGAAAAACATTCTGACTATCTTTCTATTTATTTCTATGAGCTCACATGGTTCATGTTTGTGAGTGTGTGTTTGTTTGTGCATGTGTGTGTAAATGCATATACCCGCCTCCATAATGTCAGCATCTAAACATCGTGGTAATCTTGTGAAATGCCAGCAAATGACCCACTTGACCATCAAGATGAAACATGCCTCTCGCAGGTCAAAAGTCCAACAGGTTGTTGGTTGATAAAACACAATGTAATGAAACTACGTAGATGATGGACACTGATGCATCACAAGCAGACAAGTACAGCTGTCTCTATCCCTTTTTGCGCACATTAACACACACATGCGTATACACACACAAAACAATGATGGTTTCTGGGATGCTGGTGGTGACGTGTTGCCGTGTCACACTGGCAATGGCAGATGACATAGACGCACGTAGTAACTCAGTAATTTTCCAGCCTTTAAACCCCCCCACTCTGCCTGAGTTACATAATATGTATGTGACTTCCTCATTTATGCCAACACTGGGGCACAGCGTGCGAGATTACTCCTGCTACCCTTTATCCCTCTGCCCCACCCATATCTACTTTTCTAAACCCCTTGCCCCCAATCTCCCAAACACACTCCTCTGTTGGCAGCCACTGTCTGTCTGTCTGTCTGTCTGTCTGTCTATCACAAGCACCAGTAGAGCTGCCACAGACTGAGTGGCTGTATGCAGACTGCTGCGGTGGCCTTTCAGCAGCTCCACAGGTGCACGCCTGCAGGTCTCCCCGAGAGGCAGCTGCACCCCACCAGGTTTCATACTGAGATTTGACTGGGTGAAAACACACTGGGTGATGCACTGCATGGAAATGAACGTAAGTTAGTTTATCTACAACGGATTAGTGAATCTGAATGATGTGCTGACTCTGCATTGTATATGAGTCGCAGGATTTAGTGAGAGAGAAAATCCTCCAGGTTCATTGAGGGGTGGCATGGCAGATTGTTTGTATGAGTTACTTTTGTTTAAATAGTTTTAAGCACTTGTATATTTGCTTTACTTAGTCTTGTTTTATTAAGATTTATTAAAAATGTATTCCTGTATTTTTCCTGATGTACTGAAAATCACAAAGAGCTTGTTTTGAAAAATACCACATTATTATTGAGTTAATTTTTTTTCCAAAACCTGGTGGAACTTCAATATGGGATTCCAATATCTCACTCAGTCCTGCTTTGTTGTACAAGAGTCATATGTAAATGTTGACTTTGCATAGGTATGTATGGACATGTATGGGAGTGTTGGCACAGTGCAGTCTTGCATAGGAGCCTGATATGGGTCTGTTCTCCAGTGGCCTTTGTCTAAGCTAGATCTCTCCCGGTCGGGCCTATAAAAAGGAGCCACAGTAGGACAGCATAAACTAGATTGGAGGGGTCTCTGAGGGATCTGGGAGATGAGACAAAAAGGCTGTAAAACTGCAGCTCCAGCCAAATGCAAAGACAACAGGGAGAGAGAGGGAGAGAGAATGCCCCTTAGATCTCTTTCCATACCAGTTTACATCTCCTGTGTCTAACAGCAGTGCACTAAATAGGCCATCCTTTCAATCTGTGCATGTCAATACTCTAAACAGCACCAGTCAGAATTATATGAAGCTAATGAATTGATAGATTTGTACAAGATTGATTTGCATATATGGAATCTGCCAAATAGGACATGTGTCTACCATTTAAGGATAATCAATTGTACAATTCCATAGCATACAACAAATGGATCAGAGGCATGAGAGGAAAAATCGTTATTCAATTATACAAATGTAGATGCACGTTTTAAGTCATTTCCATCTTTTTTCCCCAGGTTCATTAATAAATAAGTATCCTTGGCTCTGTCCATCACCAATGTAGAGAGGCTCTGCAACTTTTTTATTCCATGTCACTTCTGTCAGGATCTTTTAGTAGTTTCATCTCGGTACAGCAACTCAGTTAAACTGGTTAGTTCTTTTTATATTTTTTTGTTGCTGTGTCATGCCCACACCCCTGCAGGCCTATTAAAGTGGCCTCGCTTGGTGATGCATGAGCAGAGTTCACAATAATGTGTCAAAACCCCTTTAAGCAGGATCTTAAGGTTCCTGCGCTTTCTTTCTGTTTTAGAGTACCGCACCTCATCACAAAACATGTCTTTTGAAAATGAGCTCTAATATGTTGGATAAAAACAGATGTTTCATTTTTGATTGTTAAATTATTTAATAACTCAAATACTGTGGGTTAAGTCAATTACAAGGCCAAAGATGTGTTGTCTGCTGCATTGTTTAGAGTAAACATAGGTGCATATATCTAGACTAGTGGCTCTCAAGTCCAGTCCTCGAGGCCTTGGATGTTTCCCTGCTCCAACACACCTGATTCAAATGATCAGCTCGTTATTAAGCCAGAACAGAGCTTGATAACGAGTTGATCATTTGAATCAGGTGTGTTGGAGCAGGGAAACATCCAAAACATGCAGGACAGTGGGCCTCGAGGACTGGACTTGAGAACCACTGATCTAGACCATGTTTATGAGAGGCTTAAAGATTACACTTGGTGTTTTTTTTTTCCTCTAAAAGACTAAATTTGAGCATGTTTAATTGGCACTATAATCTCAACCTTCTGTTTTTAATGAGCCTGTCCTAATGGAATTTAAGATTGAAATACTGTTTTAAACCCTGTGGTTTACTTGAAGAATTCAACATGCTGTTAGTTGTTGTAAATATTAAATTTAAGCCACCAAGTCAAACTGCCATTTCCCCAAAAAAGCCAGTAGACACCATGTTTTTATTCGAGTGGCAAAAACACAGTCAAAAGCCAACACTCAGATTGATCGTGTGACCAACACCTTCATCAGAAATGAACCAGATCATCACTAACAGACAGGAAGCTTCGACACTGAACTCCCCTCAGTCACACCTGCCTGTTGAGTTTCCAGCTGTTTCAAAAAGGGTCAAGGACGTGGCTACGCACATTACCCCACATGCAGCTCAATGAGCTCTGAGGTCAGTCTGGTGTACATGATGCACTCCTTCCCATTTAAATTAATGACATTACTGAATTCCCATTAGGCTTAGAGACTGCTGCGTGTTACGTTTCAACTTTCAAGCAACATTTTAAAGTCACCTTTGACCTCACAATTGGCTAACTGAATAAACAGATGGGCTTAAGATATCTGTAAGAGCTCTCTAATGACCCCAAAATAGGTAATGCATCTGTGGTGCAATCCCCTGGCAGAATGATGTGATACAATCCTTCCCTCATCTCTAACTCCCAGTTTCCACCCTGTCATACACCCCCAGCATTTTGGTCATTAGCTACTGGAAACGGTTTGACCTGTTGTTCCAGAGAGTGTAGGAAAAAGGTTAACCATCACATCACGCAGATATAGATGAGTGACAGGAAGCCACCTGCCAGGCCACAATGCACACTGGAGCAATTCACAGGGCACAGCAACAATAGGGAAGGTGTCAATCACAGCTTTCACAGAGACAGAGTCACGACTAACAACATCAACCTGCAAATAAAAGGATAACTTTGCTTTTACTGCTCATGCGCTCAAACGGGATGGTGACATTAGCAGACAATGACCAGTACCGGAGGTCAACAGGCAACAGTAGCTATAGTTACTCATCTGCATCATAATATGTGCCCGCAGGTGATGGATTATAACGGCACGTGCCATGGTTGCAGTGCCGTTTACAAGTCAGTGATTAGATTCATCAGAAGAACATTTTTTAATTGTGATGTGTGTGCATTTGTCTTTTTTTTCTCTTCACCATATTGATGAAGATGACCTTCTAAAATTCATGAGATTGCAAGCAAAAAAACATGATAAAATATCCGTCTCTGGGAAGAAAAATTAAAGATTAGGTAAAGCACCATTTATAAAATCTGTGTTTTCTCTGTGGTGATAAGAGAGATTGAGACCATACCATTCCTGTATCTCAGTGCATCTACATTAGTTTTACTATTGTGCATCTGTTTATCTAATAAAAGGATCTCAGCTCCTGTAGCTTAAAAAACACAAAAGAGGGAGGAGGCAAAGTCAAAGGTTCAGCTCAGCAGTGAACATACCAATGCCTGATGTCAAGTCAGACCCAGATACTGTCCTGCCCTCATTCCCCACCCACATTTCTCTCCCCATTGTGTCACTATTCCCTTTCTAATCCTCTTGCTTTCCTGTCATTGCAGATATGATTGCTGCTGCTGCTGTTGTTATTGTTGCTGTTATTATAGCCAAGTTAAAAAAAAAAAAGAAGTGCAACAGACGCAGTGTGGTTTCTCTGAGGCACCACAGATAGCATAAAAGAATAATGTTTAGCAACAGGGGGAAAAATGGACAATGGGAGGGGGGGCTGTTTCTGTCATGCTCAGAAGAAACGTTTGATTTATGATAATTCATAAAGCGACAAATGAGTGATGGAGTTTGGAAACACATTAGTGGGTTTCTTGACCACAATGTTGTACTCCCTGAGAGGTGTGTGTAATCATGGCTTCCTTTGGGCTCACCCACACATGCCTGAGGTTCAGCAGGCATTATTATGGCACATTTTCAACTCACTGTGTACAGTGTCATCAGGCAACAAATCACTCTACCCATGCTCAATATTTATGTTGTTGAACTGTTTATAGATTACACACATCCATGCGCACATGCAGAAGCCAACAGAGGAGTGGATTGTTAAAAAGTCAGTGTGAATTTTAGATCGAAACATGAACAACTGGATGGAATAAAACACAGGATTTTGCCCCCTGCAGCGTCACTGCTCAAAATAGTGGAAAAAGAAAACTCAAGCCATGAATATGTTTTCATAGAGTCATTAACAAATCAAAAATTCTGGACTGTCAAAAGCAGGAGGAACAAACACATCCACAACCTAAAGCAGACAGAGAACCATTGACTGTGTCCAAACTGCAATTATAAATTGTGGTTTCTAGCATGGCAGTTCATCTTTGAAAATGATTTTCTTTCCCAATTAGATTTGCCACTACAAACATTGAGAAACTGCTCGGGCAGAAAAACGGTAGGAAACATAAAAACTCATTTTCATAAAAGCAGTCACATCATTGGGCGAACTGAGTCACACCACTTCAGTGACATTCCCGGCTGTCCACACACAAGAGAAAGATCATTGCACCCTCTCGCCCTGTCCCACCATGCTTTGTGCCATCCAACAAGATGTGCTCTCTGGGAGTGCATGTTGACAGTCCCCCAGACTGCTAATGTTTACCCACAAACACGCGCTGCATCAAAGGTCGCTGTTTGACGTTTTACCCAGAGACAAGACTAGGGAGGGCAGTGGAGGTGGTTCTGGTTAGGGAATGGGATCAGGGCAGGGAGACCACAATAATGCCCTTCATCACCCCATAAGGTTTAATATGGATTCATATGAAAGTTTTTGACGTAGGGAGGCTGTGGACTGATGCCCTTTCCTGCCCTTTGACATCATCCACTATATTTCACGTTTCCTGTCAATCAAAGGATCAACATGTGCTGACCAGATCATGCTGAGATCAGAGAAGAGAAACATAGAGGAATGTCAGTTTGTTTAGTCCACAGGGAGGCAGACTTGGAGGGAGAGTGTGCTCCATGACCCTAATCTCTGTCCATTATGCACATTACCCTACATCGCAGGCAGAGCATGCAGCACTGTGTGTGGGTGTGCGTAGAGTGGGGGGTAGGGATGATAAACATGGCCATGTGCTCTCTCCATGTTGTTGTTGACAACCACAACTTTGAAAATGACCTCTCAACGTGAAAACGATCAGAGAATGTCCATTTGAAAAAAACAACATTATTTTGAAATTTAGGGAGGAGAAAGGAGCAGAACTGCAGTTTGACTACAAGATTTAAGGAAAGGATGATGACTGATGTGTCCTTAAAAACTCGTATCGAGCCTCCTGAAAGAAGACCTGTCATTGGCTGCTCTCTTAATGAGTGGTGCTTGTGAAAATATTCTAGAAGCAAGTGAAAAAAGTTTGACTCCATGTCCAAAGTGACATAGAAGTGACATAGAATTATTAAAGTATCTACAAAAGACAATTTTTAAAGATTTTAAAAGTCTTCGGCACAAATAATGAGCACTGTGTTGATGCCTTGTCCCCCAAAAATAAGATTCAAGCTGTTGTATATGTACAGCAAAACACGCACCAACAGAGGAAGAGGTTTTATTGTTAGGAAACTTCTTAGGAAAGCTTTTAAAACATTGGAGAAACCCCAGGGATCTTTTAACTGATCTTAAAATAGTGCCAGGGAGATTTTCTGTTTCTTTATAGTAAGTTTTGGTAACTGTGTTGGCCCAGAAGTGGTTATTTTAAGAGCTGCAAAATTTGGCATTGAGAAGAAAATCAGTGAGCGTGAGGAGTTTTTTTTTTTTCTTTTTATAGGATATGTCATACTCAGAGTTGGAACAGGAGTGGGATAAGCAAAAATACATATGTTTTTTGACTACAAGATATAAGGAAAGGATGATGACTGATGTGTCCTTGAAAATTCGTATCGAGGCACCTAAAAGAAGACCTGTCATAGGCTGCTCTCTTAATGAGTGATGCTTGTGAAAATATTCTAGAAGCACGTGAAAAATGTTTCACTTCATGTCCAAAGTGACATAGAAGTGATAAAGAATTATCAAAGTATCTACAAAAGACAGTTTTTAAAGATTTTAAAAGTCTTCGGCACAAAGACACAAAACTATAGGATATGTCATACTCAGAGTTGGAACTGGAGTGGGATAAGCAAAAATACATTTTTTTTTTTTGATTGCTTTAGACAGAGAACTTATATGAGACTTTGTGAGGTGAGAGAGAAAAATGGATTTGAAAAAGAATTTAGGATTTGTAATGGCTTGTAAATAATTAAACCATGTGCATATTTACATTATTTTGACATCCACTGGGAGACCACAGCCCACATCACGGCACCGGGTAATATTATAACATTTAACCCGTCTGCTCACCTTTATGAGCTCACCGACTGCAGCAAATGAATCAGAGTTTTATTGTTATGTTACAGTTAATAATCTAATATAGCAGCAAATCAATACATTGCCTTATCACGAAAGTTATCTGTAAAGTTAGCTTAAACAAATAAAAGAAGATATGTAGTCCATTGATTTGTTTCTGTGACAAGAGCTACATCTTTACCACTGTAGGTGATGGTGCTCATGGGGAATGCAGTCTCCATCCCTGAAAAAATCCACCTAAGAAGTCATAAGAGTCAACATTACATCAAAGTTCCTTGCTGTGGTTTTAAAGTAAAATACTGTATATGCATAATTAAACTGGTTGGAATTATCAAAAGAAAATGTAACACACCTTGGAGGCATGTGTAAAAGGCTGCACTATTTCACTGAGTGGGAGGTATGGAAGTCCTTTCACAGCATTAAAAAGCATTTACTCATGCATTTACATAAACACGTACCAGTATCAACGTAAACAACCTGTCAGAAAAACAGAGCTGTCCATTAAAGTTGACCTTTTAGATGCCAACTGTGGGGGAGCTTTGGGCAACATAGTTGTGCAGCCCGTTTCTATGGTAACAAGGCCCCAGCAGTTCAGTAGATAGTGGTTTTGGGGTTTAAATGTCATTAGAAAGAACAGGAAGGAGTAACCAGTTGTGTAATAAGTTTTGAAGAATTGTGTGGTCACTGTAACACATTAGCAAAGACAGACTAAAAATTGCTGTGGGTGGAGAAGCAAACGAAATGAGTGTTAACCATTACCCCTGCCCACCCACATGCCCCTGGAGACTCCCACAGCCTCGTGTAGACACCATTTGCTTTAGAACGCATAAACACATCCTCCTTTTCGAACTCGCCTTTTGCACATTTTTGCTTTGTTGTAACACCAAGTTCCTTCCACCTGCACACAATATCGAACACAATCTAATCATCTAATTACCACGAGTTATTGAGTAATCTGGTGTCCACTGCAGAAACACTGAGCCACCACAAAAGCTTAAGCATACATGTTTTATCTGAAGGTAAAAACCAGGGTCAACCTGCTGGAACGGAGCCGCCAACAAAACTAAATATAGCTGATCACTGTTTGACCAGAAGGTGATTGAGAAATATGGTCCTCCCCCAAAACAGACGGAAGTGAAACATTTTTTTTTTTTTTTTACAAAGGAAGAGCTGCTCACATATGGTAGATTGATATCCTGTGGTTTCTTGGAAGAGGTGATAGGGATCAGAGCGCAATGACAAGGCATGAGAGATAGAGAAAATAAGAGGAGAAGAGGAACAGTTTATGTGTGAATGTGCGTGCAAAGCAATGTGAAACATCACCATTTCTGCAAGTTATTTAGTTTGTAGCACTGTATAAGCGAATTGTGCAAAAAAATGTAGAAAGTAGTTGAAAAGCTTGCACTTGTTAAACTTTTTTTGCACACTATCAGTCAGGGGGAAAGAGGTGAATGATTGCTGTTCATATAAAGCCTTTTTTATACAAGACGAGAAACAGGGACAGGCATTCAGGGAGCTGACCCCAGACAGGTGATCAAAAAGATTAGGCTGTACATCTTTCTCTCTCTGCTTCCCTTCATATAGCACACCCTGCCTCAGCGTTCTCATCTCTCCTGAAGCCCTCAGGAGAGTCGAGCCATTGGCCTCGATCTACCTCCGAACCAAACGGTCCCTGCTTTGGCCCACTTTCCTCTGTTCTAAAATAAGAGCTAGCAGCACTGAGCCAAAAATGAAATGTCCGGATCGTCCTTTAAAAATGAGATGAAACATTTCACTGAGTCAGCTTTAAGATATCTCTGAGGGAAAAACAAGTCGAACCCTTGTGGTGACAAATGTTCAGATAACAGAGGTTACTCTCACAGAGAGAGAGAGGGCAACAGGAGGACAAAGACAAACACTAATTATTAACATTGGACACTAAGTAGCAAACCAAATGTCAAGAGCCTTTTGTTGCAGCTGAGTTACTAAAGAATGAACTGGCCTCTTGGGGGAGATAATGACTTTGTGTCAATATCACATTGTTGAACAGACCAAGCTGAGACGAGACATCAGGGCACTAATCTCATGAGGAAACAGAGAGGAGGGGAAATGTCATCATTATTTCTCAAACATGTGGCACTTAAACCAAGTACTGCATGGGAACTTATCAAAAATGATAGACAAGGTGATTCAAGACAAGCTTAAGTGGAAATATTCACCCACTTAAAATAAAGTTATTTATAGTTCTAAAGAAAAGAAAGTCTCCTGCTTCCTTGTATGAATGGATAAGAAGTGTGATTTTCAAAGTTTACACAAAAACAATCAGAGTTTAAAAGTGGAAACTAAATCAAGGATGTAATTTTTCTCTTTGGGTCAAACACAATCTGTCTTTTTCCTGCTCACCATCTCCACTTGTCGAGGGTCCAGGTTGGTGGGTGCAGAGGCTGGCACAGCAAAGTGGATCTTCTTCCTCTCCTTGGGCTCCCCCTCGACCTCAGTCGACACGGAGGGCTCCATGGCTCTGGAGGACTGACTCCCAGCAGAAAAAGGAGAGGAGAGGGCACTGCCAAAGATCACTAAAACCTCCCTGGAGGAACCTCCCACCCTTGAAGACCTGTCTCCTGCTTACTCCTTCACTCTTTGATGCAATAAACTGAACAGTCCTTCCCCTTTTTAACTCCTGTCCTCTGTCCTTCGCTGGTTTCTAATACTCTCCACGTCTTCTCCTGTTCTCCCTCTTTCTCTTTTTCTCCCTGCCTTACAACCTGTGCAGCTGGAGTGAATGAGGCAAGTGCCTAGATCTATGAGGGAGGGAAATGGGTGGGTGCAAGCTAAAGGGGAGGGGCCAAGGTCCAAAAGAAGGAGGGGGCATTAGGAGAGAGGGGAGGAGCCTACGCACAGGGGAGGAGAGGAAAGAGGATGTAATAGGGCTGTGTTCTTTCTATCTATCTAAGCTGAGGTTGATTTGTAATCAGAAAAAAAAATAATCTCATCACATCAGCTGAGCCTCTTTTGGCCTCTATTTGTGAATGAGAGATTTAAGCTGAGAGAGGGAGGGAGCAGGGAGTGCAAGGAGGGATAAACAAGAGGAGAGATGCATGGAGTATGCAGGGGGATGGGGGGATGTACACTGGGATCAAACAGATAAGCCTATGCTATTGACATCACAAGACTAAGTAAGCTGGGTCATGTTAAATGTGATGGTCGGAGAAGTGCTTTTGAATAAACGCTGCATCACAGTAAAACTGTCGGAGGAGTCCATTCATCTTAACTGAGATAAATCCCATTGAAATACTAGTTTGACCTACGGATAGCACAGAAATCTCATTACATACTTAAAATGAAAAAACAATGGGGGGACATATATCAGTACCTCGACAGTATCAGGTTATCTAACTGAAACATGTTGGGTGTGGATTCTACGGAAACAGGAGGTGGATTATTGATGGTAAAGTGTAGGAAATAGTGCAAGAGGGGCAGTTCAAGAGCTATTTTCAGGGCCTTGCTGTTATTTCACTCGCATGGCAGAGGGATTTGGATGGTGAAGAGAAGTGGATTTGGCCTCGGGGCAGAGTTGAGCTTTGGCATGGGCAGAGGAGGAGAGGGAGGAGGAGGAGTGAGGTGGCTGCAGGGGCTGGTGGGCAAAACAGAGGAGAGAGGTCAAGGTGTAGCCATGAAGTGCACCGGGAGTACTACATACACATTCAGTGTTTATCCCGCTGGTCAAAGCAATCCCAGTGTGCCAGTATGTTATTTATTCACTGTTTCCATGTGGAGGTTGAGTGGGTGTTTGTAGGGTTTTGCTTTTTTGACTGTAATAGAACAGCACTCCTTTTTAGGCTGAGCACATGCTTGCAGGTGGAAGGTTATTATTGCATCTTTTCACATAGTTTGACATAATAGACATGATAGAAAAGAAGTTGCTGAACTTCTCCTGAGTCTTTTTCAGTCACCTGTTGCTATTGGATGCGGCTTGATCAAAACTGCATAACTTTTGTATTATGTCATGATACTCTGCCTTTGTTCTTCATCCAAACAAATAAAATACAGATTTAGGACAGGATATCTGAGATACACAGACGTGGCGAGCTGTTGTTCGATTTCGGGAATCTACTCAAGAAAAGATGTCATACCAATATGATGGCAAAGAGCTGGTAAGCTGGTATCAGATCACAAGAGAAGCCCCCTTTGCTATATCCTCTGCGCTGTGGCATTAGAATAAAAATTTGGTTCATGAGAGATCAAGGAAAACTCTTGGCCTTTTCATACTTTACACTATGCTGGGATATTCTTTACGCCAAAGCAAGAGACTATTTACAGATGTGTTGTGAAGTAATCCAATGACCATTTGGGCCATTACTTTAAATATGAGACTTAAACTGATGATAAACTTCAGTAAACCTGTTATCACACCTAACAGTAATGCCACAGAGTTGCGTGGTACAATCATAGACTGTTCATACTATGGACAGCTTGGTTCCGCCTTCCACCAGTATATGGGTTAGAAGCTGAATTGCTCTCCGTATTTCCGTTTTTTTCTCTCCACTTCCTGAAACCTAGATCGCGCAGTAACATTGTACACATTCGGCGGGAGAGTCACCAAGAGTCGCTGTGATGATGCTCGGCTCAAACAGCGTATCCCCCAGGTGAGCTACGCAATCTTCGTACGCACATAGGCTGAATCAAATGTCAATCATAGAACACATGAACCCCCTAATAACTTTTAGAAATGGAGCTGCACAGAAAAAGGAGGACTTGAGCACAAACCAGTCTTACAGTAACTACATGTCAACATCACAACCGGGGGGGAGAAAAATGTATATTCTGTGTAGTAAGTTTCTGAAATTTGTCCACAGCTCCATAGGAATCGCTGGAGGAGGCGGGATTTATGACCTATACTGCAGCCCATCACCAGAGGGTGCTGTTCTCAGGATGGCTTCCCCCAGTGAGGAGGCAGATGGCGTCCATTCTATATACAGTAGAGATCAAGAAATTCCTTAAAGAAGTGGTTTGCTTGCCATCCTTTCTTAATAAGATTCTTTTGGTTTTTTTTCTCAGTACTGTATATTTTCACCTCTGTCTGTGTGCCAACAGAGCAAGCATTGATAAAAATGGAATGAAAAAATACAACGGATTCTCAGGTAAAGTATTACCTGTCTTTTGGCTGTGCTTGCAGCTTCAGTGGATGACATATTAGCAAAAATATGCAAAGTTATTTTTATTTGAGAAAAAAACAAGAAAAATAAGTAAGGATGTAATTTAAAAGGAAAATGAAATGTATGAAAATTGGTTATTGTTTTTATTTTTCATGTAAAATTGAATAATATTTAAATACATTCGCCTAACATGACTGATAAAAGGCACATGATGCTGTTAAAAACACACACATGTTGGCTTACAACCCAGCACATTGATTCAGGGCAGTAGTACAAAAGTTTTTTTTATCTAATTTCAAACAACATATTATGTTCTTGGCAAATCCAACAATATTTACTCTTCATATTTGCTCTTGAATGTCAGTACATCATTTACAACTCCACAACATCAGCTGGGGTGAGACAAATATTAAAATGAGAAGCTTTTCACAACTGTGTGCTATAAAAAGAGCGACAACTTTGAAAGAAGGAACCACTAAAAAAAAAGGAATAAACAATGAAATGTGTGAAATGCTTACAGCAAATATACCCACCCACTGCTTTCTGGTGTATGTGTTACTAAAGAGACAAATTATCATGTAGGCTTTGAAATCTATGGATGTCAGAGCAGCCAAGCATTGTAAAAATCTTGGGCAGTCTGTCATATTAACAACATTTCTCTGCATGTTGACACACTGACAAGTTGAACAAATTGCTCTAATTGGAAGCCACGCAGTGATTGTTCAGTATATGAACTCATCTGAGCATAAATGGATTAACAGAGGAAATCACCTCAAAGTAAAAATACCTGTGTACTCTCAGATTTCTCCTCCGTGTTTACCTCAGTATCCTATGAGGTATTGACGCTGTGATCCAACAGCAAACACATGATAGTTATTTCTATATTATTTAACAAGCTGTTTCTTCCTCACGTTGTTTAATTTAACTCTTGAGAGTGTTTGCATTTGTTTTTCATTACAACATGAACCTCCTCTACATACCGCACTATGTTTGTTTACAGACACTGAGCCCATCACATTAACCCCATCTGTAGGTATCCATTTATATGACTGCATCTATTTTTACTCAGCTCTACTGTGTTTTTGCATTTTGATTTTGCCACATCATTAAATCATTGCACTGACAGAGCCAGAGGAAAAACCTCTGTGAGACAGATCACACGTATACAGCCTAGAGTCCCAAACAAGATAACAACCAAGCAGCTAGCAGGGACATGCTGTACAAAATGTGTGACATTTCCACTGTACACAGGCTCACATATATACACACACACACAAACACACACTGGAGAAGCTCCAAGATGGCTCCAAAGACAGATTAGGAAAAGGGGTGTAATTCTATCCACTCCTCAACTTGGCATCTTTTCATCATGTGACAGTCAGTCAGTGGAGTAAGCACTGACAACCCTCCATGTTAGGAGAGTGATTCACAGGCCTCTCAGACCCCCACAGGTGATATTCGACCTCTTTTGAACAGTAAATGCACTCTGGGTCAATGCTCAAACGAAATGCACCTAAAACTAAAGAGAAAAAAGTGAGAGTCACAGATGAAAATCCAACAAATGTCAATGTTCACATCTCTTTCATGCGGCCTAATTCTCTTCACTTGCCAGGTGCTCCAGCAGTAATAAGCCGATACCTTCATAGGGGATTTCAGGGACAAACATCAGCGTAAAAGGTGAGATATTCTATTAATCAGGATCACAGAGAGGCTTTGTACCGTCAGAGCAGGTGTCCTGGTAATTCTGTTAAGGGGCACAGAGAGGCACAGCCTGTCATTCAACACTCGACGCCTCTCTTATCCCCATTTATCAGGTTATATAACATACCATCACACAATGAACAGGTACTGCTCACATCAACAGTCCCTACACCTGGAAGGCCGTTTCTGCACAAGCTTTGACGGTGGTGCACAAGGAAGTGCGCACGTGCACCATCTGCTGTTCAAATTATGCAATTACAGCGGAAATGTTAGTGTTTTTAATCAAGATTAGATGCAGCTTACATGAGTTTTGAACGTTTCTAAGTGTTGGCATCTTTATAAAAGGTATTTTGTTTTTCTTTTTGCTGTTTTGACGGCCATTTCTTCATGAAACTATAGAGGTGTTGGTGCATATATTCTTTTTTTAATTCACCAAGAACTTCATCAACCCAGTGCTTTAAAGTTTAAAGTTGGATTTAAATAGTATGCTCCTAGGACGCCATATTTATTCACATTTAGAAATCACTACTGTGAAAGATTTAGCCTAAATCGGTGCCCTGAGAACTGTACATGGAAAAAAAAATAGAAAGAAAAACAGGGACCGAAAAAGGGGATTACCTCCTCAGCTTGTTATCTTTGTAATGTCAGATGCCAGGGAGCCAATATCCATCCGGTATGTGTTGGGACAACACAGCAGAGAGCATGATGGGATAATCACTGAGAATTTAGAGATAGGGTAATGAGTGGGGATCATGAGAGAAGAGCACTAAGCAAACCAAACGAGGTTCAGAGTCAAGAGGACGAAGAAACTACCTAAATTAATAATGCAGTAAATGATGAATGTTCACTATTGTCTGACCTTGCTGGGATCCTGTCGGGTATCCTACCGAGAGGAACAGCTCACAGCTATTTATTTTGAAGAAATACTTCTTAAAATGTCAAACTTTTTTGTTTTTAAGTCAGTTCACTTTCTGCAATGACATAAAAACAAATTAAATGTGGAAACTAAAAATGACAGAGTAACTGGAGGAATAGTTACTCCATCATCTGGGTCATGCATTAATTTAGTGCAACACAAAAAGCATCACTTTTCAAATTGAACTATCGCAGAATAACTTCTGTTTTATAAAATGGTCTTTGAAACATTAACAGGTTTCTGGCACCAATAATGACTAGTTAATTTTTTTTTTAAACAAGTATAAACCAGACAAAATTCTGAAATGACAGAGGTGACAATAATGAATAAAACCACTAGGTGGCAGTCTCTGGTTACTCTTTGCCATTAAAAAGGCTTATCCCTTGTTGCTTTCCAAAAGGGAGGTGAATTTGAAACTGAGGTCCCCATTTGGGATGAAAGCAAATTTCTTACATGAGGGATGTCTAATAGTTGTACAAATTGATGAAAACAGGATGTGGAAGTATGACTATTATTAGGCACCATGGAGATGGAGAAGACATCTTGTGAAACATGACTGGGTTTCAAGAGTGAGATTCCTGCGGAGCAAGAGTGCTTTCAGAGTGAAAGAGCTTTGATTTTAAAATCTCACTAAAGTAAATCTGGATTGAAAAAAGCAGGAGAAAGAGAGAGAGAGAGAGAGAGAGAGAGAGAGAGAGAGAGAGAGAGAGAGAGAAAGAGAGGCAGGGCTGACATGACACAGCACAACAAAAATTTGATTGTATGAGTGACAGTGTATGTCTGTGCATGTGTGGGTGCCTGTGAGGAGTAAAGAGTGTAGTGGGGTGCTGGAGATGTAGCAGGTGGGAGACATGGTGGAGGCAGAGACGGAGGAGGACATGGCAATGGGGCAGTGATTTAATTAGCACCCTCTACCCCCTCCAGCCCTTCACTCATAGCATCAATAATGCATGGCCCCTTGTTTCCACTGCCATAATTAATCCTCTCTTACTATAATTAAAAGCCAAAAATCCCACAAGATGGTTCAGCTTGGCCAGGCATGGGTTGGGTTGGCACAGGAACTGATGAAAAACTCCAGAGCTTTACACACACTCTGTGGACCGACAGATCGACAGACAGACAGGCAGACATGTTGACGGAGAGATCAATAGTCAGCCCATCTCCAACTCAAGCAGAGTGAATGAGGCATGAAGGCAAGCTGAAATACATGCAGAATGTGACATGCAGGGAAATGAAATGAATGAATTTGCCAGGCTGATGACGTGGGTCGCTCTTTAAAAAATATGCTTTTGTGCATCTGATTTGTGAATGAGTACGAAAGTGAGGGAAAAGGGAGCCAAGCACAAATCTACCAAGCCTTACTCTATTCCCTTGAAAGAAGGATGAATGTACACGTGTGCGCACACTCACACACACACACACACACACACACACATACTTACACAGGCATCCCGCTCCCAGATGAGGTTCGTCTCTGCTGCAGCCAAGCCAGACGAGAAGGAGAGGTGGAGCTTTCTGATGCTGCAATTAGGACCACACTGTCTGGGCGAGCAAACAAGAATGAATATTTCAGTCCGGAGATCTCTTCGGGTACCTATGGTGGGGGCCTGGCACACCTACAGGCACCCACACACACTGACAGATACACAACTCACCACGGCTGCCAGAATTATTCACCTCCCAATCACAGATGCCACAATTATCACATCAGTATCACCGCGCAAACGATGCCAACTGTTATGCTCATTGAACTATTGTACAAGGCTTACACTATCAGTATAAATATGCATCAGCAGGAGTAGTCGGAGTATGTCGCTGACAGTTCTCCCTCTGTGAAAATAAGTGCAAGGAGCATCCAGGCTTGGCTACCTGCCAGGAAACAAGACAGTTGGTAGATCAGAGGTCAAATTTGAAATACAACCTGAGTTTCTTTTCCTCAGACAGTCAGAGAAATACTCACCTCACTCAGTCAGCTCCTCCGGTTCTTCAGGGTTTTGAAATAGTGCTTCACTTTAAAGGGCTGTAGAGTTCACACCCTCCTCACTGCACACTCCCTGTCACACACGGGGACTTGTACAATGGGAGCACTCCCTCTGGTGTGGGTTCATTGTCGATGCTCCATGCAGCCCTCCTCCTGCCCCGCCGTCCTCGGCCCCATCTCCACTTGATTTATCGCTCTAAAATACCCCTGCACTAATTAGTCAAGTAATTAATTAATAGGCATTTGCATTTGTGCATATGCAATTAGGGGGCTGGAGAGATGAGAGTGCAGATGGGGTCCGGGAGTCTGGTGGGGGTGGGAGTGTGTGTGGGTGTGTTTTTTTTTTTTTTTCTGTGTGTTTGTGTGTGTGTGTGTGTGTGTGCTGTATTTCATATTAGTGGCAGCCAAAGTATGCACTTCTTCTAGAAAGACAAATGAAGTGCAGGTCATCACCTCACATCTCTGATAGTGAGAGAGGATGAAGGGAGGGGGAAGAAATGATAACGTAAGGAGGTGTGGCGAGATGACTTTGGAAAGATGTCGGGTGTCATTTGACTGCAGAGGAAAAAAGAGTGATGGAGAATTTTCTGGGTTTCAATTTTTGCATTTTGATTACATGCATTTAGCTCCTGAAAAGCACAGCAGGTGGCCCTTACTTAAGACTAATCCGCATACAAACAGGATGCAAAGTCGTTCTAAAATATTCTAATTCCAAACAAGCTCTCCTCTGGAGTTTCAATATCAGATCAAATCCTCCCTGATTGGAGTTGCCTGCAGCCAGTCGCTGGCTAAAGCCATGCTGTTGACATTTAGCTTTTATTTTGGCAAGGTGACCTGAAGGTTGTTTGGGACTTGTTGACAAGCATCACGCCCACCCCGTGGCCGCAGACCTTGCTTCCCCCCACCCTCCTTGGTGCAGCCGAGGAAGGATAGGGCACCAATTTGGCTGGAGTGAAGCTGGATGCCCCTTTACTCCCCCTTCACACTCACACACACACAAACACACTGAACAATCACCCCACCGTGGTTTGGGTTGGTGCCAGGTTAGCATCCTTTCATCCCGTAAGGGATGGGACACATTAGTGAATGTGAGGCATCACGGCTCCCTAGCCACAGCTGCCACACCACTGGTGACCCCTGATGACCCTGCAGTCCCCCATTTGCTTCCTCAGTTGTGGTTGTGGAGGATATTGAGGTGATCCAAGCCCAAGGACATGATAAGTTCCTATCAGCTATTTCCCGGCCTCCAGGTCCCTGTCCCCTCAGTCCTGTGGGTGTGTTTGTGCCAAGTTGGACTTGGTGGTCATCGGGCTCATTTCTCCCACATTAACTCCACTAATGTCTGCTAAATAGAGAGATCTCTGATGCTGGATGGACACAATGCATTGAGGCAGACACACTGCAGAAACAGGGATGCTGATGGCAAGGAAATCTTCCATTTACGCCGTGATATGCCAACATGTCTCCCTCTAAATCTTGGGCACCTTTGCCAGCTCTCAGCACCAGCTCCCTGTCATCTCCAGCTACTGCCCCCTTCCTCCTCATTTTTCATACATCCCTAGTGGGCCTGCACACCTGGGTCTCAGTCTCATGCTTGCCCTTTCTCTCGCAGTGCCTGTATGTATCTTTCCCTCTCTCTCTGAAGCTCTACCCTGCAGGCGCCTCTCATTCAGCAATGCCCACCATAAACATCCGCAGTAGCTCTGGCTTACCTCGCAAATTCAGAAACAGCCACCAGTAACCATTTGATTCTCTCTCTTAACCACATGGGCACTGATCCTCACACACGCACACAAAAACATACACACGAAGAAAGTCCGTATAAAAATTTGATCAATCAGTCTGGCTCATCTGAAGCTTCGGCAAGTGGGTCATCTGAGCCCAGGTTGTGCCCACAAGAGTCAGAACAAGTCACAATTGGTTTAAGTTGTCTTTTCACTGAATACATGGAAGCATAATTTGATCCAATTAGGTAAATAAATAAACAATATGCCTTCTGTTCCACAGCCTTAATGCACTTATAATGCATTCCCATCCCCCTACCTCCGCCCTTCTTCTGAAACAGACATGTGATGGAGGGTAAACCCTGCAACTATAAACCCAGTTTATGTCCCTTGTATTTGCTGAAGAGTTAATTGATGTCATTTTGGAATAGGTTGAACACACAGTTTTTATTCTATCTATTTGAGGTAATTAGTTTTTGTTAGGAAAGAGTTTCTATTTCATTCGCTGATTTTTACAGATTAAATTTTAAGGGGGCCTTGATTCGTTTGGGGGGTCATGGTTTATTTTGCCATTCATAGCAAATGATAAGAGCAAGATAATGCACTATGATATGATGATGCCTTACACGCTGTTTAACCAGGTGCAGTGTCATCCTTGTAGGATTCATTGGCCTTTTTAAGGAACCTTAATGGTGAGTGTTGGGGTATTTTTCAAAGCTCTTCAAGAAATCGCACCAAACTATGATTGATGAGTTTGGCAGATGAATGAACAAAAATTTTCAGGTTTGATTAAAAAGATTAGCCCACACCCCTCGAAGCATCAGCACAGGTCAACAATGATGAGTTTGTTGTTCCACCATTTTATTTCCTCCCTCTCTCTTCTGTTTTTCCTTTTTTTTTCTGGCTGTGTGAGCTCTAGCGCGGTGACAGATGGCGGAACCCTCCTCCTCCTCCTCCTCCAACACCACCACCACCTACCTCCTCCTTCTCTCCCTCTCTCTCCCTCTCTCTCTCTTTCTCTGCTTCTCCCCCCGCGGGCAAATCTCTCCGAATGCGGGCGCATGTCAATCACCGGGCTCTCATGTGATGGCTCTTGCCGGTGACGTGCCAGCCATATGGGCGCTGGCATCACAGCCTTAGCTGGTATGTAACCCCGTCCCCGGTAGCTCACGGTTGCCACACGCGCGTGCGCACACACACATACACACACATACACACACTTACACATGCATGCATACATGTACCTACTCACTCACTAAACACACTGACACGCCAAGACGCACGTTCGTTCACAAGCTCCGCTCATTTGAGTGCGCGCGCTGGGAGAGGAGCACCCCTGAACAACCCGTGAGCGCCAGTGAAAGAAAGCCGCGCGCTGCTTGCATCCATACACTGACAGGGAGCGTTGGTTCGCTCTCCCGTGTGGTCCCTGAAGATGGTCTGAAACCCGAGCGCGTTTTTTTTTTTTCGCCCATCTCCTTTCAAGAGCTCGTGCCGAGGTAAGTTGGAACATAAACAACAATAGAGGAAAAAATGTGAATGTTGAGATGCCCGTCCAAAATGGAGGAGAAAATTAATCCAATTAACAAATGAGCACATCAGGAAAGGCAGCCTATTCTAACGCGTTTTACATAGTTTTATTGTAATGCCAAGAACCAATTCCAGTCACCTTTTGCGCACAGTTTGGAAGGTAAAAGGCCGACTATTGACACAACTTCTATATCCTGTCGACTTGTCGCAAATGTGTGGGACTTTGTTTTGTCTTTTTTTTTTTTTTGTTATTGATCCACGTGCCTTCAGTCGGCTTAAATCAGATACTGCCACACCTAATAGAAAAATATCTGATTTGGATCTAGAAGGGCTTATGTTTAAAATGTCTTAAATTTCCATATGAGCGCGCTTTGCACAAATTCGTTCTCACTCCTCCGCTCTTCCTCGACGTGCCCTTCAACTTTTGACATCCAAATCAACCCGGATTATAAGAGCCAAGATCAAATGCCGAGCTCGACCCAAAAGGCAAGCGACTCCAGGTCCAGATTTCTTCGCCTTATAGGATCATTTCCAAGGAGAGGTGTTGAGGGAAGCTGCAAATAGATAACATCGGACACTAATTTGATTTAGAGATTCCTGCGTCTGGACCGAGAATCAGAGAAACAAAAGACGAGGAGGATGGAGGACCAGAATTTCTGCACTGTATTTTGGTATCAGTCCGGTTGTCTGAGCGAAGGACATCCTCGAGCTGAACGGGAGATTTATTGATGAATTTGTCGATGATTTTCACGTTCAATCTCAGTGCAAATGAAAGGGTGGGACAACGCCATTGATGTGACAAGCAATGTGCACTATGATTTATCTCTGATTGTCTAGTTTTATCTCCACCGATCTGTCTCCTCATAACATTGTTTTAAGGGCACAGTCGTTGCTTCCAGGGTTTGCCGTGCATGTTTGGAGAGCCCGATTGTTTGTAGAAAAATGTTTTTATATTTAACGAGGGCTAAAAGGGATACAAGTGATTTCCATCTGTAAAGGGTTATTGCAAAGTGCTCTGAAATCAGGCACTCGTGCATACTGAATAATGTGTGAAATCTATTTCGTGTTAGCTGCATGCTCTGTTAATTAAACGTTGTTGTGTTTTTTTCGTCTAATTGAGCAAACCTCCTGAGCCTGAGATTTAAAAACTAGATTTTGCCCCTGGCACACCCCCCGAGATAATTAACCAACCATCACAGCCTACCTTACGCTGGGCTGCAAGTCATTCTGCTGCTGCTGCACTATAATAATAGAACATGTTAGGGAGGAAGCCAATGGAGGCTTATTCAAGCTGTCAAAGATCACATCGTCACAGTTTTTGTGGGATGGAACTGCACTTACTAATGAAGTGGTAGGATGATAAATTTGTTTCTTTTTCTTTTTTTTTTTCAAAGACAGATTAATGATCGTGATTGTTTGGTAATAAATCTGAACAGTTATGTCTTTCATATCTGTTCGTCTTAACTGATCCTGGACTAATTTGACATTTATGAATAAATTCTAGGAGCATTTTTGCCTGACAATTTGTGATGATTTACAATTTAAGTTTTAAATCTAAAACAGACCTTACATTAATTACTGTTCAGTTTTTAGAGGGTATAAGCCGAAGTACAAGTGCCATGGTGTTAAATGCGCTCATATCCGTTTTACAGCCTGAGTAAGGGTTTGTCTGTGAACCTTAATTTAATAATCAAGGTGGCTGTAAACGGGGCTAGAGCCGATCAATTAAATAAAATCCCTTTTGCCTCCTCTGAGGAGAGGTGAGTGCTGGGGACGAATAGTGCTGGAATGCAGCCAGGAGTGTATATAGGCGCCAGGAGGAGTGAAAGTGGGGGGCCCCACGGGACCTGTAATGTGGCCCCTGCCGCTGGGACCTGCTGTGAGAGGACGCGCCAGGGCACACGGCTGACAGCAGGGAATTAAATGGGGATCCGTCTGGCTGCAGCTCAGAGCGACGCTTTTTAAGAGCCGATTTCCTTCATTTATATTTGCCACAAATGCGCACGACTTGTTCATCCGATATTTTTAATCAAAACCACGATAATGTTTGTGATTTTATTGGCATCTCTCCTTGAAATCGATGCATAGGCAATAAATATTCGATAATACCCGTAAAGGCCTTCAATGTTCTGATATTTATTGCTACTTGTGTAGTTTTATCTTAATCCTTCCTGCTTTGAGACATTTGAAGACATTCTTCTGTCAATAAATCCAAAAACATATGTTATCACTTTCGCTTTTTGGGGCCTTATTTTCGATTTTTCTTCCCCTATTCTCTAGAGCCACCATGTTGACGAGGCTTTTCAGTGACCCCTCGCTCCTTCCCGATGTGCAGAAATACACCGGCTGGGCGGACGACAGCGAGGAAGAGGACAAGATAAAAAATGAGGACCAAGACACACAGGACGGCATGGAAGATTCTGATCTGAGGGGAGGCAGCAGGACGCAATCGGAGCACGCAGGAGAGGACGACGATGAAGACGAGGTGGAGGAAGAGGATGACGGAGAGGATACAGAGGGTGATAGGCCCAAGAAAAGGGGTCCAAAGAAGCGCAAAATGACCCAGGCCCGGATCGAGCGCTCCAGGATGCGGCGGGTGAAGGCCAACGCACGGGAACGAACCCGCATGCACGACCTAAACTCTGCGCTCGACAATCTGCGTAAAGTGGTGCCCTGTTACTCCAAAACACAAAAACTCTCCAAAATTGAGACACTGCGGTTGGCTAAAAACTATATCTGGGCCCTTTCGGAGATATTACGCTCCGGGAAAAGGCCTGATCTTGTGTCCTACGTCCAGACGCTTTGCAAGGGACTCTCCCAGCCCACGACCAATCTCGTGGCGGGATGCCTGCAGCTGAACTCCCGTAACTTCCTAACCGAGCAGCAGTGTCAGGAAGGAGGGAGGTACGGCTCCGGCTCCTTCTCAATGCATTCCTATCCCTATCAGTGCGCGCGTCTCTCCAGTCCCCACTGCCAGCCGGGCTCGAACTCGCATCCTCTGAGAACGCACGGCTACTGCTCAGCCTACGACTCCCTGTATGGAGGGAGCGGATCCCCGGAGTATAACAGCCCAGAGTACGAGGGGCCCCTCAGTCCGCCTCTCTGCATCAATGGGAACTTTTCCCTCAAGCACCAAGGCTCTGCGTCCCCCGACAACGAGAAGGGGTACCACTACTCTATGCATTACTCCGGCCTGCCAGGCTCCAGAGCCAGCGGGGCCCACAACCTTGTGTTTGGCTCCTCGGGGTCCCGGAGCGGCATTCACTCTGAAAACGTCCTGCCTTACCACGACATGCACTTACACCACGAACGGGCCCCTGTGTACGACGAACTCAACGCGTTTTTTCACAATTAATCAGAAGCCTTATGTGCGTCTCCTGCAATCAACGATCCAACACGGAACACTTTGACAAGCTGACATCCTGCAGAGACGTTTCACACTCGTTGTCATCAGTGTTTTTTCTTTCATCTATACTCCGTGTCCAAATTTGGTTTAGCGATATAGTCAGCGATGCAGTGGAGGACAATCCACTGACATCGTGTTCCCAGCAAATTTTGCCTGCTTTTCGTGGTCAAATAAAGCTGTAAGAGAAAATCAGACCAACAGACGAATTTAACATTATCACTGATTTTGAATAGTTTTGGTATTGGTCGGTATCCGCATTTTAAGACTGGGTTTAAACGTTGACCCACCTTCTATTAACCACTACACCCCTGATATCAGCTCCACTTAAATATTAGCTTTGGTTAAAAAAAATGTGAAAAAAGGAAATAAAGAAATTAATAAACAATCTAAGGAAAATCACTTATACTCCCTTAAAGATTTGGGAGGTTTTTGGAAATGATGCAATCTTAAAGAAATGAAGAGTAAGAGGCTGGACTATAAACGTGCTCGTTGGGTTGTTCTAGAAGAATCTGTTCTCCGGCAAATCAATCGTCTCGCATCTATGCAAAACCCAACGAGAGAGCAGCGCGAGGCAACAAGGCCCGAAAGACTTTCATCAGCTCTGTGGCTGCACGCACGGCTGCGCGCGCATACACACACAAACACACACACACTCATTCTCTCTCTCTCTCTCTCTCGCTCTCTCTCTCTCTCTCTCTCTTCCTCTCTCTCTCTCTCTTCCTCTCTCTCACACACACACTGAATTTTTTGGAACCAACATCCAACGAATCCGACGATTGCTAGGCTGCCAAAATGGTTTAATTTCCCCCCAAAATAATCAAAACAAAATAAAATCAGAGATAATTCTCATGTTTCCTTTTTTTATCAATTCATCTTTTTCCTCTAATTGAGCCACTGCACTGTATTTTATTTCGAAATGGATTTTAATTTCAAATTTCGTTTTGATTTTTGGTTTTATTATCCTCACTTTGATGATTATTATCATTGCACGTATTTATTGTGTTTCTTTTTTTGTATTCAATGTTAATAGTCAATGGAAATGAAGGGATCCCACGTGTTGCTGAGCATTTTTTTCATATGACTTAAGTCTTTCAACTTTGTATTCAACCAACTGTGTTGTAAAATAAAATGATAATGACTAAGACTCTGCTACTTCATTTTTTAAAGTTTTCCTGCTAAACGTGTGGGAAAACTCTGACATGGTTTTGGTCTTGATGAGATCGCTACTGTAACATGTTTACATTAAGGTTTAAGCGATAGAGAGATTTATATAGGAAGAATATCGGGGGGAAAATCATGCTACAGTTTTGAGAAAACACCAACCTTTATCAAGTTTATTTATGTATATGAGAAGAAAGACTGACCATACTGCTCCCGCAACCTGCAGGAGTTCCTCACAGAGCCTCAGGGCCCTCATCTAATCCGGGGCAGGGATGAGAGGGCAGGGCAGCAGCCATTTTTCCTGATGGAATAATCTGATGCCAGGACACCATTTCGCTTGGCAGATAGCTGAGATTTTCAGAGCACTCTTTAAAAAATGTTTATGATGAAATGAGTTGCACATTTTAGGTTAAAAGAGAAGTACCGTAAATGTGGATTCGCTGACATGATACACAGTCTAATTAGAATCTGGACACTAAAACTAACAGTGCAGGTTTAGTTGTGCCACGCGCAGAATTCAAGGTCAAATCCTGAATAGTTTTGGTCTGCGCCATATAGCCTACTGTATTTCTTGACCAGGTAACGCGTAAGCGAGAGTTGCGTTTCAGCACCGTGGAGAGCTCCTATAGCTGCAATCCTCTTGATCAGGCTGAACCACAAAGTTGGTCAGATTTCAAACATTAAGAAAACAGTGATATTTCAAGCAATGAAGAAGGGCTTAAAATTTAGGAGTAACTAACTGATTCCTTTCAAACTTCATAACAGATGTGTTGGCGTGCACGGTTTGTAAAAGTATCAATGACAATTGAAAATATAAAAGGACACCTGTATGTATTCTTTCTAATTTCTTTCCATCACCTATTAATAAAATGTTTCCTCATATTTCTACAATACATTAAACAACACATATAATTTACGAACTTAAACCCCTTATTGTCACAATGTTATATTTGTGTTTCAGATTATGTACCGTGCACCTATTAAGCAAACATGGATTCATCGTTCCTTGGATTCTTGAATAAATTAAAAACAAATCTATCAGATCTGAACAGATTTATAGGTTCTAAATTTTGAAAGGTGAAAAATGACATTTGACAAAAATAGCCTATATCTGTAATAATAATAAAGCAGGGAATTGGTCACACACACACACACACACACACACACACACACACACACACACACACACACACACACACACACACACACACACACACACACACACACACACACGATGCAAGGGGCAGCCGTTGCCACCCCGGCTGGGTTTGGAGCGCTGCCCCGGGACCCATATGTTCCCCAAAATGTCCTGGGTGCTCTCTGCTGTAAGGACACACACAGGGGTTGGGTGGCGACTACTGACAATGACTATAACAACTACTGTATTAATAACTACTGTATCTCACTATCAATTATATATTTACTAAATTTTATCTTATTATATCCCATCTTTTTATTATTCTTACTTTTTTTTTACTGAAACAGAATGGACGGAAGCCCTGACCGTCCATGCTGCAGTTTTCGTGATCAACTAAATACAGATGTTTATTGATGTTACCAATGACTAATAATTATTTTTAAAAACATCTCATATTTTAATTGAAAAAAAAAACCTTATTCAGAAACTTCAAACTTATACAATCAAGATGTTAGCTCGATCTCTTTTGTGTTACACATGTTGAAATTAGCCCCGTGTCCAAAAGTACCAAAGTACAAGATGGGCTCCAAAAGAGTATAAATTAAGCAACAGCTTTTGGGAATGTTTGTGAATTTATTTATCGTATTTATTTATCAATATTGCTTGTTTTGCTTTGCTTTGAGTTTCCTGACCCACTCAGTAGAATATTAAAGATGGGTAAAATATCTTTTCGAGGATCTTATTGTTGCTATAACCTGCTCTGAGTCGACACATGGAACTGTTGGCTGTATCTCCCTGCTCACTTAATTTTGCACATATGAGAAGTACATTAGTGCAAAAATATGCTCAAAAATAATTGCATTTTGTGGAAAAGAGCGCGAATTATTTCAAAATAAATCTCAATCTGGGAGTAAATTCAAGATAACTGGCAGCGTTTCGGTTTTGCTTTGCTTGGTGTATTCATTTTCATTAACCTGAGCCTTTCAGGTTTATTATAAAACTATGACTTTAAATCACTCACAACACGATTTGATTTTGGCACGCGCCTCCACCTGTGAACGCATCCATTTGGTGGAGCCCTGAGTGGGAATTAAACCTGCAGCTCCGCAGTGAAGTCAGCCTTCAAAGGCTTGTGTTACACTTTGAGCTAGTTTTGGGCCTCTGCTTTTTTTTTGGCCTCATCAGCAGAGTGAAAAAAAAAAGGTGCATTGCAGGAGTGAGCCCAAAAGTGAAGCAAAGGAGCAGTGAGAGAGGGCATCGATCAAATACTTCCTGACCCCCTTACACCCCACCACCTTCTTTCCCTCCACAGTCCAGAGAAAGGAGAGAGAGAGAGAGAGAGAGAGAGAGAGAGAGAGAGAGAGAGAGAGAGAGAGACTGGCAGGCCTGTGGAGGAGAGCCGTGCCAAGTCCCTTAATGTTCCCCAGCAGCAGCACCAGGAGCTCCGGAGAGGACAACCCAGTGTGTGCGCCAGTGTGCCAGTTCACCGGGCCAAAGTGGCACTGCTGGGAGGAGTCGATGTTTCTTTCCTAATTTTTGCAGCATCTGTTCATTATCCAGGACGTTTAAAAACGAGAGCGCTCATCCCGAGTAACCCTTACACGCACGCCCTCACACACAAACAAACACACACTGATACACAAGAGAGAGGGATTTTTAGGAAGAGCTGGCCTGTGCGTATTACCCCTCAACCTCAGCGCCGGAGGAAGGACGTGTTGCGTCTGGCAACTTGAAACAAATCAAACCAATGGCACACTAACACGCGCACAAAAAAAGACACAGACTGAAACCTCATGAAAAAAAATAATGAAAAAGAAACAGATTTTTTTTCTCGCATTTATCAAAGTTTGATTAAATTTCTGCACTTTGTGGCAGTTTGCAATTTTATCTTCAGCTCTGAAGGGAAATGATTTTGGAGAAAAACGCTTTATTCTGTTGTGCAAACTTATCTGTCATCCTATATGTGAACCGTGATATCCCTGCTAAAACAGAGAGAGTTGTTTTGTGTGTGTGTGAGTATTTGTGCAGACATGGCACACCTTTATCCAATTAAGATAAAATATATGATTGAACAGCAAATATAAAGGAAATTGCAGGTGTTTGGGAAATTAAATCACACTGATTTATCATGGCCATTTCTCGATTTTGCCCAATTTCTCAGCACTCGATAGAATTTTATTTTGTCAATGAACCCTTCAACACTTAATTCTCCATAATTTTGCAGATAAAAGTCTGACAAATGACTTACAATTGCTGTCAGTCTTCTCATGTCTACAGAAAAAAAAACTTACAGTGACACTCTGTGCTGCACTCAGGATGAAAAGTGAGTGAGTGAATGAATCTCGCTGTTTAAATTATCATCTTCATGCCCACTCTTTTTCTCACTCAACTTGGTAGGAAAAAAAATCAAGTGTTTGTCCGACATAACAGTCAATAGTGCGATTATCAAAATGTCACAAGTACTATGGTGTGAATTCTAATTAACGTCTAGCAAAATGATAACAAATGAGTGTTTTTGCAAGATGCAGATATCAAATCACGATATGGATGTGGGAAAAATGACGGGAGGGGACGTTAAAGCAAAGGGGGGAAGATTATCAGGTCAGGAGATTTTAAAACATCTGCAATCTGTCAGTTATTCAATTCAAACCAATGCTGTAGAAATGGACACACACAAACACACAAACATGCTGATCACTGATGCATTTGAATAATATATGTCCTCAAACACTGCAAATGCCCCATGCTACATTATTAAGTTCTCTGGCAGCTGCGCCCCTGCAGTGAAAACTAAAATGTAACACATGTGTACAGAGGAAACAATCGTGCAGATTCAGGCCAACAACTCTGCCTGCCTGTATGCCAGTGCCCCCACACTGCCAGACAAGGGAGCGGGCCTGTCACTGGCAGACCATTCAGAGGAAATTCCACAACATCTGTTTGTTATCACACAATGGGGCACGGTGCGGCACGGGTACTGGGGCAGAAGACAAGACAGAAGCTAAACTAGGAGTGCGCTGCTACCGCTGGAGGTCCTGCCAAAGGAGAAAGGAGGGCTCCAGGGGGAGGAGATGGGTAGGAAGTTGGGGGTACGGAGGGGGCAAGGAGGAATAGGGCAGGGGGAGAGATCCGGGTGAGCGCCAGGTAGGTTTCAGGCCTTTGGATGGTGGCCAGATAGGTTTTGCCGGCTAGTGCCAGATGTTGACGCACGCGGGGGGAGAAGTGTCTGTTTAGATATTTGGCTGTAGAGCGCGCGCAGAAAGTGCGTGCTCTTGATCTGTCCAACGGTCGTCATCGCTGAGGCCAGTTGCGGTGTGAGTGTCCGGTGGCGGGGCGTGGCTGCGTGGCCCCTGTTTAGGAGGTTAAGTAAGAGCGCGCACAGGGGCACAACTGGAACACAGGGGGGCGGTTGCTGGTCTGCACAGATGGCATGTGTGCGTGTGAGTGTGCGTGCACGTGTGTTATGATAGGGTTGGATGATGCCCTGGTCACATGGGCAGCAGTAATTGGCCTCCATATTGACCAGTTTGCAGCGCTGGGGGGCGGGCGGTCTCCCAGCTGGACCTGTCAGATGGCATCGCATCCACCTCACTGATCACCCCCCGGACGACCTCCGCAGCTCTACCCCTCTTGCTTTCATCTCCCTTCTCCTTCAGCCCTTCATCTCGCCTCCTATCCGTCACCTTCCCTCACCTCTAATCTCTCTCTGCTGCCTTCATCGCCGTCACAGGGCTGACCCGCTCTGTTCATCACCGCCAGTCTCCACTTTACACAAACTTTAAACAAGGACTCGGTACTTCATAGAGTCAGCCCCGGACAGACTGGCGAACTCCTTTCCTCAAGGT